CCAGCCCTAACGATTCTATGATTCTAATGTCAGTCTCTTACAGAGATTGCTATTCAAAATAAGGCTTTTAAGAATTGAAACAGAGCTATTTTAAATTCTGTGAAATGACAGTGATTTAGAAATATTAGGTTTGGTTTAGGTGAGGTTTTTTGTGTGTATCTGAACTAAAAAGGGGAACAGCTTAGGAAAGTATCAATTTCAAATGTACCCTGTCTGCTTTTTCCCTTTATTTTTCTCTATTTGTTCTTTCAGAGGATTAAAAAATTCTGAATCCGACCTGTGCTGAAAGTCTGCTTAGGCAAGCTAAATGTCTTTTTTAAGTGGTTGCTTTTTCTGTGTTGTTTCTTGAAAGAACTGAGCACTGACTTACCTGTTCAAAGCAAGAAGATGACTCCCAGTGTCTCGAACACCACAGAATCTAGCGCAGAGTGCTTGGCTGAGATCTGTGAACGGCTGAGCCCCGCTGCTGAAGTGAGTGAATACCTGGGCTGACTCTCCTGGGACTTGAGCTTTTGGGATGGCAGAGGGTCACTTCATGTGTGTATGTGTGTGTTCCAGTTCATACTTTGCATTAAAGACTCAAAGAAAACGGCAATCTTGGCATATGTCTGTGTAGTACAGGGGAGGCTGGATACCAGTGAAGGTAGTGAAGGAAAATTGCGGTTGGGCTCAAAATAGCTGTCTGTTTTTCCCAGGACTGTTCCACAAGCTGAAATGTGAAGTAGTAACGCTGAATTAACGCAGGTGATGTTGTCTGGCTGCTCTTGCAACCTCATCTTAGTTAAATGCGGTTAGGAAAAGACAACGGCTCTCTGGCACGAATTTGCTAGGCTGGCTGAAGCACATGCAGTATTCCCTCCCAGCAGACCTAGCCAAAGCAGGCTAGGGCTTTGTTGCTTGCATTTAAATTATGGTCGTAACACCTTGTCTTTTCGGTGATGTAGTTAAACCCTTTGAGAAAGGTTGAGGAGAAAGTGCTAACATTCTGCAGCTCTGAATGTTTGGCTTTTTTGTACCTTTGTGTTTTAGGCTTGGGTGTCTGTTCTTGTTAATATCTTTACTTTGTCTTTGAATATAGTAGAGATGTTGGGGATTTCTTGCTCTCCCTGTATATTTTAGAAGTATTACTGAGCGCACACAACATGCTGTCACAGTGAACACAGGGTTCTCTATTACTATGCTTTGCTATAGAGAGGATTATATTAAACTCAGTAACCTTGCTGAAGCCCCTTTGTACATTGCTGCTATATTGATAATCTTCACATGATTCAACTGCAGTTGAAAACCTTTTATTCACAGGATTAACACTTTCCATCCCAGTGAAGATGAGAACCTTTGATATTAGGAGATGAGCTTTTTGATGTGCAGATTTTTTTTATTATTTTTTTTTCTATTAGTGTAGTCCTGCAGATGTTGTCTTGGCCATTTCTCCACCTAGGTATATGCAGGGAATACTCATTAAGCCTAACCATTCAAAAATGGGTAAAACAATTTATTGATGAGTGATTTAGTGGTTAACTAAGGGACTGTTATGCTATTTGATTGTTTACAAAACAGTAAATGCTTTAGGAAAATATTTGCATTCTAGAAGAAATCTGAAATAACATTTTAGAGTAATTTAGAAAAACATTTCCTAGTGTTCTGCATCTAAAAATAGTGTGTTACCTATGTATCAGTAGATTGAAGGAGCAATATAAGATGTGTTGACATTTTGTGTCCATGACGAATGTAGACCTACTAATGAACAGCCTTTCTCTAAACTGTAAAGTTAAATGCATAGAAAATAATTCAAACTTATTGCTGCGTCTTTAATATTGCACATTGTAGAATCACAATTTTGGTGACACCTGCGTTGCCTCTCATTAAAGTAGACAGAATCCGACCAGTAAAGAAGAATTTCAAGCTTGATTTCCTTTTTCTCTGTCGATGATTTTATTTTATCCTAGTTCTTTTCCAAATATTTGCTGTTTTTTGTAATTTAATAAGAAGGCTTTCAGGTGGACTGCTGGCTCAGTTCTACATATATTTAAGACCTTCATCAAGCAACTGGGGGAAAATTCATCCACATGTTTGTATGAGCCTTTTCACTTGCATCTCACTATTATGGCATCTCTTTGGCCTAGATCATTGCAAGTCACACTTGTCCGGGAGTCAGAAGGACAGGACAGGCTGCTCATAACACATTCCAGGTCTCTCTTCTGCCATATAGTGCATGAGGGAAAGGTTGCTGCAGGAAGAAAGTGATGAAAGAAGTGGTATAATGAGGAGGGAGAGCTGACTGTGCTTGGAAGTCACTTCATTTCTGTTTGGGTTTTTTGGTTTTTTTTTTCTTTCTGAGTTGAAATTTTCAGCAGTTGCTATCTGTCCACTTCCCTATTTGAAGGATTTCCATAGTTCTTCCTGCAACAGCATGAGTTTTAAAATAGACTTTTTTTTTAATCCTCTTGTCTCTGCCAAGTCTGTTGATGGTATCCTGGGAACTTTTACTGCTCTCCAGTAAAGGGCAGGAATGTTGAGGCTAGTACTGCTTTGGTCTTTGTGCCCTTCAGTAGAAAAAAGTAAAGAAGTATCTATGAATTACACCTAGATATTGAGTCTTCTTTGTCACTCCTGTGTGCTACTTCTAGAAGTCCAGAAGATGAACTCCCAAAGAATGAATATATTTAAAGTTTCAGTTGTTTAGAAAATAAAACCCAACATGTTAGGAACATTGACTTAAAATTTCCATAGTGTATGTTTTCCATTTTTGCATATTACAGGGTCAGTTGCGACAGTTATGTTTTGGATTTTTTTTTTTAATGTAACCTTTAACTCGGAAAGCTTTATAAAGAATACTAGTTTTTATTTACTTGTTATTTTATGTCAAAATGTAATGTAATCAAATGCTTTTAATTGTGCAGTTGATAGTCTTACTTGTAGAAGATACATAAAACAAACAAAAAAAACGAAACAGAAAAAGTAAAAAAATATAATTGCTTGTGAGAATATTAAAAAATCTGAAGAGCTAGATTCCCTAGCCGTTGATAGTATAATTATTTAATTACTGACAACTTGCGTCATCTGTACTAATGCACACACTCTGATAACGTGAGAAAATATTTCTGCTGCTGTACTTGCATTGTAACATTTAAAAGTATCTGTCACATTTTCCCTGCTCTTTCCTATGTTTTAGTGAATATCCCAAGTAATGTCTGAGAAATGAAACTTGGCTTTAGTCTTCAAATCACTAAAAGGAAATAAGTAGTTGTTTAAAGTGGTTAACTGTTCTTAAAATATTTGTGTCTTTAAAATACTTTATGTGATTTCCTGAATAGGTTTAGTAATGAGTAAGGATCATTTAGTTTAAGGTATTTTCTCTTGATATTATTTAACTTGGGAAGGTGACCCTGAGCTAAATTGCAATGAGTGATTTGAATGCCCATGGGCTGCCCTTCATTGGTTTGATTGGGGGAGATTATCTGGATTTCTAATATACTTTAATTACTCTGCTTATATAAATTGTCACATTAGAAGGTTCTTAACTGTTGAGTCTGTTCTGTCAATGATCCACTAACAATAGGAATATACTAGGCTCTTCCACTGAGATTTGAAGATTTAAACCATCAATGAGAGAATTGGAATGGCTCCCTTTAAACCTACTGTATCTTCAGTTGGAAAGAGTATGTGATCTGCTTCTACTCAGGCAGCAATTGATGTGTGGTAAATTGAAAGGATCTGTGCCTTTTCTATTTTGTTAATAGGCATTTTTTCAATTAAGGCAACTTAATGCAAAATATGTTTTTAGGATGTTTAAGGTCAATGTTTTCCTGATATGTGTGTATGTGTGGAAAGAACAGAACACAGTATGGTTAGGATTTTTGGATAGAGGAGGGTGGAGTATCTTTTAGCAATGATTAACTAAGGCTTTACAGAGAAGCTGTCCTAGTTGAAATGCTGCCCTAATGTTTGTGTGTCTCTTGCAGCCTGAGCTAGGTGCCCTGGTATTTTTATTTATCTCTCTATATATATCTACACACACACCTATATAAACAAGTCCTTTAAATTATGATCTGAAGCACCTCAGTCCTAGAGTGTTACAGTGATTTAGGCCTCTGTCGACCTTTTACTCCTGAGCATTAGGGCCATCTGCCTCCCTGCCAGCTCCGTTCAGATGAGCTGGGAGGACACCAAAACTTGGAAGGCTCTTGCTCTCAAATGATGTAGAGGTCTTCCAAGATTCAATGGTCTGATGGCCTACAGTAACAAGTCCAGCTGAGCAGCAACTTGTTTGGCATGTGCAGCATGTGTGTCTTATAAAACAAGCCACTCTTGCCTCCTGCATGGGAAGCTGTCTACTGCTAACCTACAGAAACTATGGAGTGAAGAGTTGAGTCCAATGTGTGTCTGGTGGGTCCAGAGATGTCTGATTCAATCTCATGAAGAACAGAAATCTGTGTGCTTGGAACTATTATTAAGTCCTACTGCTGAAGATGTGTACTTAAACATGTTTGACTTTGGTGGGGTCTTTTCTGTGTGGTTTCTTTGTTGTTTGTTTTGTTGTGTTTTTTTTAAATAACAGACAACAGGTAGTCTGAACAATTAAATATCTGTTACCTGGTGGATAGGACGTAATACAGGGAGGGAGAGTGTTATGTGCTCCAGTCCTTTTTCTGGGATTTCGCATTTTTATCCAGTGACTGACTAAATGTAAAACTCACAATCCAAAAGCAGAGCCCGATCCCAACACCAGGCTATCAAAACTGGACCTAGGTGCCCTCCACTCTGAGGCTGTGACTCATTGATTTTTATATTAAAAAAAAAAAGATCTATTCCAGGGTTTAAAATGAAGGTAGCTACTGCTGTGCTTCGTGCAGCCTGCTTTTCTTGGTGTGAGTTAGTCATGATCAGCTTTCTGGGTCCCAGTAGGCTGAGACTGTGGGTTAGATGCTCAGCTGAAGGCATTTGCATAGCTGACTTGCAAGCACCTTGGGGACTTCTCAGTCAGAAGAGGATGATCTGAGTGAGCAGTTTGGGAATTATGATTCAGGAGCCTGAGATCTGTTTGTGCCTTGCTTTTTAACTATTGGATCCTTTTATCCCTTTGGATCTCATCCAACATCTAAGATGTCACTTTCTGTATGCTTCACATTGTTGTGCCTGATGAAGGCATGTTGTAACACTGATATATATGTTGTTGTGCAAATCTGTGCCATAAAAAGCTTAAGCAGGAATAGATGAATTAAAGCATTTGATAAAATCCTGGATGTTAGGGTTCTGAAAAGTGTCCCTCTTCCCTTGTTAGCCTTCCCTACCTCATCACACCAATCAGTGATTATCATACACATACTTAACCAAGTATATTCTTTGGACATCCTTTTTGCAGTAAACATTTAAACATCCAGTTTGTTGTGGATTATTGAAGCAAATTAAACTGAAGGGAGAACACTGAAACATGATTTAATAAATACTGATCTGATGGGGGCATGTTAATG